GAAATAAATGTTTGTTGTTTAAGCCCCCCAGTCTATAATTTGTTATAGCAGCCCATGCTGACTAAGACACTGAGTGGACCACAAATAGGGTAAACCCAAAGAAGTGCTTTCTCAGAAACATCATAATTAAGTCTCTGAAAAAAAATCTTGAAAGCAATCAGCAAAGTTACATTACTTATATGGTAATATCAATTCTAATGACAATGGATTTGTCATCTGAAACCACACAGGCCAGGAGGAAGTGGCTCAACACTTTTTTTTTTTTTTTAAATTTTATTTATTTTTTCCCCCAAAGCCCCAGTAGATAGTTGTATGTCATAGCTGCATGTCCTTCCAGTTGCTGTATCTGGGACACGGCCTCAGCATGGCCAGACAAGTGGTGCGTAGGTGCGCGCCCAGGATCTGAACCCGGGCCGCCAGCAGCGGAGTGCACGCACTTAACTGCTAAGCCATGGGGCTGGCCCTCAACACTTCTTAAGTGCTGAAACAAAAGAACTCTCAATTGCCAAGCTTATATCTTTTTTCCTTTAGGAGGAAGGAAAAATAAAGACGTTTTTAATTGAAGGAAAAGTTCTCTAAACAGAAAGGAAATGATGGCAAAAAAAAGGCTTGGACCTTCATAAAGAAAGAACATTGGAATGGGTAAAAATTAGGGTAAATTTAATAGACTATCCTATTTCTCATGAATGTCTTAAATCGTTTTTGATGATTGAAACAAAAATTTTAAAACCATTCGATATGATTCTCAATATATGTATCGAAAGCACTTAAGACAATAATGTTTTAAAAGTGGGGAAGAAAAATGAACCTAAATGGAAGTAAGATTACTACAGTTCACTGAAAGTGGTAAAACACTGATAACAGTAGACTGTGATAAGTTATGTATGTATATACTAATACTTTTAGCAACCACTAAGAAAACCATACAGAACAATATATTCAACAACACTACAAATAAATTATGATGGGATCCTAAAAAATGTTCATGTAACACACAGAAAAGTAAGAAAAGAGTATTGGAAAACAGAAGAAACAATCAGGAAACAAACAATAAAATGGCAGACTTAAGTCTTAACATGATAATTATTTCAAATATTAATGGTCAAAATACACCAATTAAAAGACAGTGATAAGCAGAGGGGATAAAATAAAAAGATTTAACAATACTGCCTATAAGAAATTCACTTCAAATCAACGACAGGTTTAAAGTAAAAGGATAAAAAAAGGTACAACATGTAAACATTAATCAAAAAAGTGGTTATATTAATATCAAAGTAGGCTTCACAGCAAAGAAAACCAATTTTACACAATCTGTTCTAGAATATAGAAGAGGACAGAATACTTCCCAACTCATTTTATGAGGTCCATATTGCCCTGATACCAAAACTATACAGGCAGTACAAACAGGAAAACCCCAGCTCAATATCTCTCATGAGCTTAGATGCAAAAGATCTCAACAAAATATTAGCAAATTAATCCAGGAGTGTATAAAATTAGACATTCCACGTAAACTCCATCACCAAGTGAGATTTATTCCAGGTATACAAGGCTGATTCAACATACAAAAATCAGTTAGTATAATCTACCATATCAAGAGGCTAAAGAAGAGAACATAAAATAATCACATCAATTGACACAGAAAAAGTTTCTGAAAAAAATCCAACACACATTCATGATTTAAAAAAAAAAAAAAACTCAGCAAACTAGGAATAGAGGGGAAATTCCTCAATTTGATAGAGATTCTATAAAAACACTATAGCTAATATCATACTTAGTCATGAAAGACTGAATCCTCTCTCATTAAGACAGGGAATACGGCAAGGATATCCACTTTTTCCACTCTTATTCAACACACTACTGGGATTCATAGCAACTGCAATAAGACAAGGAGGAAAAAAAGGCATACGAGTTAGAAAGGAAGAAATAAAACTCACCCCACCTGCAGATGATATAGCTGTCTATATAGAAAATCCCAAGGAGTCTTTAAAAAATATTCCTGGAACTAGTCAGTGAATTCAGCAAGGTCACAGGATCAACACATAAAAATCAATAATATTTCAATATACTAAGAATCAACTTGTGGAAAATGAAATTAAAAATACAATACCATTTATAATAATTTCTAAGAAAATTAAGTACAAAGGTATAAATTTTAAAAATGTATAGGATCTGTATCTTATATAGGGAAATTTCTAAATAGACAAAAATACTCTTAGAGCTAATAAATTCAGCAAAGTTGCAGGGTACAAGACCAGTATACAAATATCCATTGTATTTCTATACACTAGCAGTGAACAATCCAAAAATGAAATTAAGAAAACAATTCCATTTACAATATCATTAAAAAGAATAAAATACTTAGGAAACATTTTAACCAAGGATGGGTAAGACTTGTATGGTGAAAACTACAAAACACTGCTCAAAGCAGTTAAAGAACACCTGAGAAATGGAACAACACACTATGTTCATGGATTCAAAGAGTTAATATTGTTAAGAAGGCAATACTCTCCAAGGTGATCTACAGATTCAATGTAATCCTAAGAAAATCCCAAGGGCCATTTTTTTTTTCCAGAAAAAATCTTGAAAAATAACAAAGAGGACTCATAAATCCCAACTTCAAAACTTAATACAAAGCTACAGTAATTAAAACAGTATGGCACTGGCATAAGGATAGATATATAGACCAATGGAATAGAATTGAGAGTCCAGAAATAAACCTACACGTCTAAGGTCATTTGATTTTTCACAAGGATGCCAAGACCATTCAATGAGGGAAAGAATAGTCTCTTCAACAAATGGTGCTAAAATGATGAGATATCCACATAGAAAAGACTGAAGTTAAACCTCTACCTCGCACAAAACACAAAATTAATTCAAAATGAACCAAAAACCTAAATGTAAGAGCAAAAGGTATAAAAGCTCTTAGAAGAAAGCATAGAAGTAAATCTTCATTACCTTGGATTTGGCAATGGATACTGAGACACGACAATAAAATCACAAGCAACAAAAGAAAAAATAGATAAATTGGATTCTGTCAAAATTAAGTACTTTTGTGCATCAGTAGACACAATCAAGAAAGCAAAAGGCAACCCAGAGATGGGAGAAAATATTTGCAAATAACTTATTTGATAAGGGTCTAGTATCTGCATGTATAAAGAACTCTTACAACTCAAGAACAAAAAGAAAACCCAATTAAAAAATGGGCAAAGGACTTGAATAGACATTTCTCCAAAGAAGATATACAAATGCCCAAAAAGCATATGAAAATATGCGCAACGTTAGTCATTAGGAATATGTAAATCAAACAATGATGAGGTACCATTCAGACCCACCAGGGTGGTGTAATTTAAGCAAAACAATAAGTGTTGGCAAAGGTGTGCAGAACTTGCAACCCTCATAGATTGCTAGTGGGAATGTTAAATGATGTGGCCAGTGGGGAAAACAGTTTGGCAGTTCCTCAAAAAGTTAATCATAGAATTACCGTATGTCCCAGCAATTCCACTCCTAGGTATATACCCAAAAGAATAGAAAACATGTATTCAAACAGAAGCTTGTACACAAATGTTCCTGTCAGAACTATTTACAATACCAAAAGGTAAAAAGAACCCAAATTTCTATTAATGGGCAAATGGATATACAAAATCAAACAAATATATCCATACAATGGAATATTATTCAGTCATAGAAAGGAATGAAATACTGATATATGCTGTAATATAGATAAAACTCAAAAACATTATGCTAAGTGAAAGAAGCCAGACACAAAAGGTCACGTATTGTATGATTCCATTTACGTGAGATATCCAGAATAGGTAAATCCATAGGGACAGAAAGCAGATTAGTGCTTGCCAGGGTCTGGGGAAGGGAAATGGGAAATGACTGCTTAATGGGTATGGAGTTTCCTTTTGAGATGATGAAAATGTCTTGGAACTAGACAGAGGTGATGCTTGCAAAACTTTGTGAATCTACTAAATGCCACTGAATTGTACACTTTAACATGGTTAATTTTATGTTATGTGAATTTCACCTCGATTTAAAAGGGGGGGACCAGCCTAGTGGCATAGTGGTAAAGTTCATGTGCTCTGCTTTGGCAGCCCAGGGTTTGTGGGATTGGATCCTGGGCATGGACCTACACACTGCTCATCAAGCCATGCTGAGGTGGCGTCCCACATACAAAATGGAGGAAGATGGGCACAGATGTTAGCTCAGGGACAATCTTCCTCAGCAAAAAAGAAGATTGGCAACAGATGTTAGCTCGGGGCCAATCTTCCTCACCAAAAAAAAAAGTTATATTCAACTCAGTAAAGCCCACATTAAAAAAAAAGTGGGTATACAGGGATGAGGTGAGACTCAGGGATATGTACTTCACAAATACTTGATAATAAAAAGCACTGCTGTTTTATAAAGGGAAAGAACAAGAAAGGGAGCCAGGGATTGGGTAAAGGTATGCTGCATGCACTATGAAGTCAATTTTTAATAGGCTGATAGTTTCATGCAAAAATCATGGTATCAAAATGTCCCTAGAGACAAAATTTAATTGACTTAATATAATTTGTTTAATTCATTTAATTAAGATTGTTATATCAGAATGTCATGCACCTTTATGAGTATTATGCTGTCCAGTGCCTAACACAGTGTTTTGACACAGAGTAGATCCTCAGTAAATGGTAATTACTACTGAAAGGGCTTGAGGGCAGGCCTGCCTCCTTCAGTTCTGCTCCTTGCCTTGCATGGGCCCAGATACAGGCAGAGACACACTGCACAGAGGGAAGAGGGAGCCACAACCTCTGTGGCTCTGAGACACACCATCATGAAGTGTCTCCTGCAGGTTGTACTGGGGCAGAGGCAGGGCGTTGGGGCAGCACCATGCTGTATCCAGAGGGCCCAAGGGTGACAAGCTACAGCACAGGAGAGTCGGGGAAAGCTCAGGAAATGCAAGCAGCTGCCGAGGGAGGGGCTATCAGGCTGAGTCTGATGACGCAGGCGCGTGAGCAGCTTACTTGGACTCCATCTTTATGTGCTGTCCCTCCATGCATCTTCCTTTCAAGCTGGACCTGCTTCTTCAGCTTCCTCCTCTGCGTCTTCTCCAGCCACAGGTCATCTAAACTGTGTGAGTGCTGAGGCATGCTCCTGCGTTGTGGAGGAGTCTCCCTGGGGACGTTCTCTGCAGAGACGGAGGGGAGGGTCCATGTCACCATCTCAGTGGTAGAGAATGGCCTCTGGGCTGGCTCAATGTGAAAAGCTTTCTGACCAAGGGAGCAACTGGGCTTCTTTCCTGGTTGTTCTTCCCAAGGCATGTGGTTCTGGAGAGCAGAAAGGAGAACATATCAACTGGGCACACAGTGTCTTTTCTCTGTTCAGTTTTTTTTGGGTATAACCCCATGTTTTGATTCATGCCCAAAATACAGATTCCAGTGAAATACTTCATTCACAGTAATTTTGGAAAATGTGAAGATTAGGAACAAAACAGATCTTTTCTGTTAAAATTTCTTCTCTGAAGACTTTAAAAAAATCAAGTCTTCAACATTGATCAAAGAATTGGGACTTGAAAGTAATTACTGAACTTGGCATGCTCATCAGAATACTTTTTAAAGGTCAGCAGTTGGGGCAAAAGCTGTTGTTTGAACAGTATCCTCTGAGAGCAGAATTGAACAGAAACACTCTCAGGCACTCATTACTTCTTTCTTGGCACAGACATTAACTAAATGTATGCACAGCTGCACCTTACCTATGCTGCCATCCCTTTGTCCCAGGATCCAGTTACCCACTCAGGCTCCCTAACTGAATTTGTAAATAAAGTTTGTCCACATTAACAGAATACTTTGGCTTTGTGTGGACACGGCCATCCTCTCTGTTCTTTGGAATCAACCTATGGCCACTGGAAGAAGAACCCCTTTTCTTCCCATGTGTTCTTCAAGTCAGTCCACCCCCACCCTCATACCAGTGGACACCTCCTTCACAGCATCTCTTTGGAATGTCATCCCCAAGCACTTTGTATATACTATTTGGTAGAAAGAAAAAGGTGAAATTTCTTTTAACTATTTCAAGAGTCTGCCTTTAAAAATGTTTACATCCGCATATGTATATATACGTATGTATGTACATACGTATATATACATACATATATAGTCATGCATTGCTTAACAATGGGCATATGTTCTGAGAAATGCATTGTTAGGTGATTCTGTCATTGTGAAAATGTCATAGAGTGTACTCACACAAACCTAGATGGTACAGCCTACTACACACCTAGGCTATATGGTACTAATCTTATGGGACCACCATCATATATGGGGTCCATCGTTGACCACGGTTATGCAGCGCATGACTGTACACATATATACATAACATATGGGGAGAGAGAAGAAGGTAGAGGAGGAGTAGGAGAGGGAGGAGGAGGAGGAGGCATAATTGTTGCATAATGCTTTTGGGGTACAGCCTGGGACTGGGACTTTTCAAAGCTCTCTAGGTGATTCTAATATGCACCCAAGGTTGACAACCACTGTGGGTTTTTTTTAATTTCCCAAATATTGCTTTAAGTTTAAAAAGTGCTTTCACTTAGTTGTCTCTCCCCAGCTCCACTGTGGGCTAGAAACAGCTGGTATATTATCCACATCCTACAAATAGCGTAATAGAAACTCAGAGAGCCTAAGTGATTACCTGAGTTCACACAGCTCTGTGTGTCATTATATTCTTCTGATTCTAAATCCCATGTCCATTCACTATTCTACATTGTATAATTTCCTGTTGTTTCATAGCTGGAAATAACATCTACATAACTAAGCAAGGACCACACCTCAGACTCTTTAACTCTTGAAGTCCCCCAAAAGGGAAGGGATATTAATTGAGCACATTTTTATGCAAAGCTCCCTGTTACACATTTTATGTCACTAGATAGGGAAGCTGGGTCCTTCTGGGGCCATTTAGTGAATAAGTGACATAAAGTCATCTGGAAGGAAGGCAAGCCACTCTTACCCTGGGGCTTCCGCAAGAATGCCGCTTACTGCTGCTAGAGATGAGCTCACTTATTTCAAACTAGAAGAAAATTTGGATTTTTCCAATACACCATCCCCTAGCCTTCTACCAGCCTGTCCCTGAGTTGTTGGCTGGAACCCCTTGAGGCCATCAGTGATGGTTTTATCCTCAACTTCTGTTTTATCGAAACTTTAGAACATGATCACTTTCACAGCTTGGTTATAGGCCTTTAGAGAGAATGTTGGCTGGAGACTGGGTGTCTTAAATGCAAAACTTTCTTTTATTTTTTCCATAAGCTTAATGGAAAAGAGTTAACTCCCCTCCTACCCCTCTCCCCACCCTGTGAGGCTGCTAGGGTCATACATCCATTTACTTACTAAGAGCTTTGATCTCCTCAGGAACAAAGGTCTGTGTTACGAAGCCATTAATTAGAGCAGTAGTTTTCAAAGTGTGGCCCTAGACCAGCAGCAGCATCTGGTATGGTGGGCGGCCTCTAAGATGGCGCCCAAAGACCTCATCTCCTTGATGCAGGCCCTTGTCTGAGCTCTTCAACTTGAATATGGGATGGACTTAGTGACTTACTTCTAATGAACAGAATATGGCAGAAGTGATGGGATGTCACTTCCAAGATTAGGTTATAAAAAGGCTGTGGCTTCCATTTTGGGGGGCCTCTCATGGATCCCTTGCTCTAGGGGAAGCCAGATGACATATTGTGAGTAGTACTATGGTGCTTGCCTCACATGGCAAGGAACTGATGTCTCCAGCCCACAGTCAGCAAGGATCTGAGGCCTGCCAACAGCCACATGAGTGAATGTGGAAGCAAGACATTGTGCAGTCCAGCCTTGAGATGAGTGCAGCCCCTGCCAACACCATGAGTACAGCCTTGTGAAGGACCCTGAGCCCAAGGCACCCAGAAAAGCCCATTATGCAGCAATAGATAACTTGTATTCCAGGGAACTTGTTAGAAAGACAAATTTTCAATCCCCATCAAGACTTCCTGAATTAGAAATTCTGGGAGTGGGGCCAGAAATATGTGTTTAAAATGCTCTTGAGGGGATTCTGATGCAAGGCTAGTTTGAGAATCACTGTACTGAAGAGACAGGCAAATAAGGGAGAGGCAAGGCAGATCAGGCTGTTCAAGTGCTCCTATGTGTCCTAGGGTGGAAAATCAGAGAGCAGACCCTGGGTTTAGATAAACTGAGTTTGAATCCTGGCTCTGGCTCTTTCCTGCAGTGTGACTTTGGGCAAGTTTCCTTAACCCCCTCTCTGTTTCTTCATCTATAAAATGGGAATACTAATGCCTCTCAGAAATTTTATAAGAATAAATGAGATAGTATACATAAAGCACTTAGCGAAATGCCTGTCACTCATTCAATACATCAATATATGGTAGCCAGTGTTATTGTCTTTGTTAATAAGTAGACAGGGCTGAGATGGCTGTGGTGGTGATAGAGTCCTCTCCCTCTGGAATGACTTATTTCAGGTCCTGCCTGAGAACTTCACTACAAAAATGCTACTTAGCATTAAACTTACTCTCTGCTTTTTAATTTTTATTCAGAGAAATTTCTAGCACAAATCTCTAATTCTCCTTGTAGTATTGGGCAGTATGGATTCAGTTTTTCAGTTTTCATCCCAGTAACCTTGTTATCCACAAATGAACAAGGAGCTCTCCTATTGTCTGTCTGTTTAATATCAGATATGCCACCAGCCAACACAAGCAAGGCAGATCAAAATCCATCACCACACAGTGCAAGGTACATATACATTATCTTATGAAACTAGAATTTTACAGAATAAAGAAATGTTCCAACAGGTAGACAACTTCCTGACTTTCTGTTGTCATTCAACAAGCCTTTCTTGAGTACACAGTATGTGCCAGACAGCATTGCAGATGCTAGAAATTCTGCAGGGAACAGAACAAAGTTTGCTGCCATGGAGTGTCTTAAGCAATGGGAACACAAAGATGGACAGAGTCCCAGCTCTCCAGGCACTCAAAATATAGTGGGTAATAGAGACATATAAATGCATGAGCTTTCTTTATATAGATTAAAAGTAGATGGAGTGATGTCAGCAACATGGCTGAGTGAGCTGTCCCTTTGCCTCTCCTCTTATAAATTACAACTAAATGGACATTGATTAACCAACAGAGGATACCCAGACAGCACAACAGGATGCCTGATAGACCCATGCAGCTATACATCTAACAGTGGGGGACTGGATACCCGGGAAGCAGTGGAACTAGGTGACCGCACCCCACCCCCTCCCAGGCAGCAGTGAGCCAGATCGAGGATCCTTAACAGCAGCTGGCGTGACTGTAAGAGGGGATGGAGGACAGCCCAGCCTGTGTGCAAATGCTCTTGAAGGGGTAGGTGGGCCTACAGGAGCACCCACTGTGCTGCGGTAGCTCACCAGTGGAAACACTCCCCACTAAGTGGCTGCAACTCAGCCCCCATGTAGGAGCCCTGCCCACCAAGCACAGTGGCTCAGCCAAACGACCAGTGATCACAGTGCTGGCCCATACCCACACAACACACCAGCTGAGCACAGAGGCTCCATCCCCACGAGAGCAACCTGCAGAGTGGCTGTGGCCAACCTGTGAAAACACAGAGCAGCTGTAACCATACAACTTCCAGCAGATGGGACAGGATCACTCCTGCTTCCTCCCAGTGGTGGCAGTAGAATCTGTGACCTGATATTAACAAAAATGTGCTGGCAAAAGATCAGTTCATCAATACCATGAAAAACTACAGCAACAATTCAGAGCAGAAGGAAAATGACAAGTCTCCAGAAATCAATCCTGAACTCACAGAAACTTACAATCTAAATGACAGAGAATTCAAAATAGTTGCCATAAAGAAACTCAACAAGTTACAAGAAAGAAAGTTCAATGAGCTCAGGAATAAAATTAATGAGCAGAAGGAATATTTCCCCAAAGAGACTGAAACTCTAAAAAAAACCAAACAGAAATTCTAGATGTGAAGAACACAATTAATGAGATAAAAAATAATTGAGAATGCTTAAAAAATAAAGCTGATGTTATGGAGGACAGAATTAGTGATTTACAGGATAGATATATTGAAAGGCTTCAGGTGGAGGAGGAGAGAGAACTAAAATTTTTTAAAAATGAAGAAATTCTTCAAGAAATAGCTGAATCAATTAGGAAAAGCAACTAAGGATTATAGGTATTCCAGAGGGAGAAGAGAGGGAGAAAGGAACAGAGAGCTTGTTCAAAGAACTAATAGCTGAGAACTTCCCAACCCTGGGGAAGGACTTGGACTTACAAGTACATGAAGCCAAGAGAACTCCTAATTACATCATTGCTAAAAGA